GTGTAGTGGCAATGAATTAGGTTCTCACATTAGGGACAAGAGCAGAGCTGCAGAATGAGAGGCAGGTTATAGTCTGATCAAGGACAATCCAGTTTTCATTTTAATTTCAGTGTGAGCAGTATTCTTTATACCTAAACTAGCAAAATAGAGATAAGAGATGTTGGGAGCAAAGGAGCTGTGTTATAATATAGATGTCAAGCAGAGATTGGGATTTTTATCACTAGACATAATCTTTGCAGCCAGCGAGGCTGAGCTATATGCTTCTGACACTCGGGGGTCTGTACATTGAAACCTACATGCATGTACATTTGTTTTTGCCAACATTCAGTCATAAGGTTATTAGGCAAAATCCCTGCTACTGCATCCTTCAAGGCACAAGTGAAAATCAAGTGAAATCAGAGAACAGGTCTCTTTCTAATTACAGTTTTGCTTCTAAACTGGTTCTGTTTGACATTATCATTTAGAAGTGAACCATTTATCCTCAAACAGGTGACAAGAAAGACACAGAGAATTATATCCATTTAATCTAGAGTCTGAATGTAGTGTTCTGGTGGGACTGCTGCATTTTCACACTGTGTGGCAATAAGGATATCTAATTAGGCTGTGTCTTTCTATCTCAAGTCCCTCCAATGTGAACCCCAACTTCGGCTTAGGTTTATGAAGGCTTCAAGCTTGGTAGGGACTAGTGGTTTCATAGTACCAGTTAGGTCATTTCATCTGGCTCATTTGAAGCAACAACAAAAGCAAATTTGATTTGCCAGAACTGGAGACCCCTGTATGTAACCATTACTCACTCAACATATTTACTGAGCACATGTTATACCAGTCATTGTGTTGTTAATACAGGACTTTTTAAAAGTTCATATTCTCGTTATGAATTTGAGATGAAACTTCAAAGGGACCTTTGGAAAAGAGACAGTATGTAAACTTAGAGCAAGTATTCTGCTTCATGGATATACCTGAAGTAGATACAAAAAAGGGAGAAACTAAAAATAAATCCAGAAGAACAAGTTCATAGTCTCTTGGTGAAAGAAGATATGAATCAAATAAGTAACCATAAGCTCCAATAAGTGCAGAAGAAGTCTGGAGAAGGGAGTAATTACTTTTGTTTTAAAGGGACTGGATAGTAGCAGACTAGGAGAAAGTTCTAATAGGAGGAGATTCCTAAACAGAGTCTTGAAAAGTAAATATGAAATTTAGACTAAATTTACCTGACAGGCCACATGAGTAATGAAAGCATTTTAGAGGGGGTGTAAAGCAGTGAAGGTTGTTTTAGATTCATCACTCTGGCAGTCATTTGTGGATATGTTGGAGGAAGCCAGTCTAAAGACAGGGATATCAGAAGGCTGATCAGTTAGAAGGCAGATGGTGGCATGGTGATGGCATGTGCAACTGTGCAAAGTGAGGACACTTCGCCTGGTCACTGTGTGCCTCACTTGGCCCTATTGCATCCCTTGTGGACTTGTGATGAACCTTCAAAGGGACTTTTGGAAAGACATGGTAGGTAAATTTAAGGTAAAGCATTCTTCAAGGATGCCCGGTAAAACAAAGAAGGAAGAAGCTAAAAATAAATTCAGGAGAACAAACTCCTGGTGAGCTACAACCACCCACCAGAGCTGGATCCACTAGGCTTAACAATAAGGCCCAAGCACACTGAACCCTGCCCATCTAGCACAGTACACCAGCTGGCTGCAAGAGGTGCTTCAGACAAGAGGTGCCACCAGAGAAGCCCCATATCCCAACCCTTCTGCTTTCTCATTCAAGGCAGCAGCTTCAGAAATTGTTCAGCTGGGCCAGCCTCATTCCCCTCTGACATATCCTTGCTGTGGAATTCAAAATTAACCTGGACTGACCTCCCCATATGATCCCCACCCCCAGCTGAGCTTGGGAAGTTAGTTTGCCTGGAATTAAATTTTGATTGGCAAAGGACACTGATAGGAATAGAGACCTTGAAGAGCAAGCAGTGAGTACTCAAAAGAACTCAGCAGCTAGTAGTAGAAGGAAGAGACAGGCAAGTGGGTGGTGGGTGGGGGCAACCAGGGTGGGGCAAAAGGCAGGCTTCTCCTGAATTGTTGCCCACCATCTGGCTTGTAGAGGGCTCCTGCTTCTTGCGGCAGAAACCTTAAGTGAGAGAAAGTCAGGACGATCCTTGCAGGAAGGGGTCCTCACGAGGCCACAGCCAGGCTACCTCCAGACCCGTCAGCAACCTCTCCGCCAGAAGAGCCTCTGAGGATGAGCTCGCCAGGCAAAGGATAAGATGAAGCATTTCACTTAGTGTTTTTCTTCCCAAACACTTAAGCCCCTGTGGTGTTGCTGACCTTGCACCCTTCTAGTAAAAGGCCCAGGACCCATGCTCGGCATTTCGGAATCTGAAGTAACTTTAGAGGGTGGAAGACAGCGATCTCGTCCCCACGGTTCTCTGCAGCCCGGGGCGCAGAGTGGTCGGCCCCTGGGGGTGGTGCAGTGTCAGTGAATGTCCCGCGGCCCAGGCGCCAACCTTTAAGCCAGGGCCCACCCGGGGGTGCCTGGAAACAAGCCCTTCGCAGGGAATCAATGGCTGTGGGGCGACAGCGTGGTGCGGGGCGCAGGCCGCGAGGGAGGACGGGCTCTGAGCGGCCTGTCCGTCCGGGACGGAGACCCTGTGGGTCAGAAAAGGGGAGCGAATGTTTGCGGGCCTCCTGCCTCGGCTCCCCCGCGCCCGGCCCCCGGGCAGCTGCGCCAGCAGGACGCGCAC